CACTGTCATTCTTGCCCTTGCCCTTTCCAGAGCCTTTTCCTTTCCCCTTTCCATTATGCTTGCCCTTGGACGGGGGATCGCCCTTTCCTTTTCCCTTGTTGTCGAATCCTTTGTTCTTTCCTTTTGCTTCAGGCTTGCCCTTAGGGCCCTTCTTGCCCTTGGGGCCCTTCACACGATCAACGTCCATGGGACCACTGGAGTCTGCACCGATGGCCTTCAGAACTTGCTCCGAGCACCAACTCGAAGAGGATCTTTCGAAGGTCAGCATGATGTCTCTTAACTGCTCATACTTCGTAGCGTCGGTGATTTGAAGTTGAAGATAACGACGGACATCTGACGGCAAACCAGACAAGAGCGTGGAGATCTTTAAATCGTCCGGGTACTTCTGGGGGCTCACGCGCTCGTACTCAGTGACGAGGCGTTCAAATGTTAACATGTACTCCAACAAGGAATTGCCCTCTTTGTACGGTGGATACCTGGTTAAAGCCTGTGCTAAAGCCAGGGCTCGTGGTCGTGTTGCTGGTTGTAATTCATCACTCAAACGACGCCATACTCTGAAGCCACACCCTGAGTCTTCGGATTTCAATATCTTCAACGCTCGCCCTCGNNAATCTTTCGGATCTACTCTTGGTACCAGGAGTGTAGCTACTGATGTCAAGGAAGCCGGAAGCGGCCTCACACTTCTGAAAATCATCCTTGTACTCTCCGTCTTGCACACACATGAAAGCTTTGAACTGGAAGCTCCAGTCTGGCCACAAAGCTAGCTCATCCTCTAGGCTTTTAGCACTGAAAGTCTCTGGGCCCTTCACAAACTTCGATTCTTTCCAAGCTGGCTGAGTAGAACTCGCCGCTGCCGCTGTAGCCTGAGATGCGTTCGCCAACGACTGGACTGCCACAGCAAGCTGCGACAACACATCCGACGGGTCTAGTCCACCCGCACTTGTTGGACTGGCCATTTCTTCCGCAGCCGCTCAAGGCTCAGTCGAAGCCAGCCCACGCCAGCTCTCTCCGATCTTTCTGAACACCAAGACTGCTAGCTCGCTCTCTCTCACGAAGGG